GGGTGAAATATTGCATTTTAAAAAATTTGAATAGACCGATGGAAAGGGCATAAGATACTGTAAAACTTTTGTCTGAAATATTTTTTCATATACCTCATATTTTAGGAAATATTAAATAAAAATGAAAAAGTCCGTTTTTTTCAAGGGGTGGTTTCAACCCCTAAACCTCGAGATAAGCACATAAAAAAAATACGTGTCTAATGTTTTTTGATGCTCTACAACATATCCAATGCTCATCAAATTCGGTGAGGGACGCCCCCGACCGTTTCCTTGTAGTAAGACACTTATGGTAAATCAGTTATAAAAGTAAATTGCAAATGTATATTTATTTACGATTTCTGATATTATAATATAAAACGACTGTAGGAGATATAGAGAAATCTTAAATATGATATAATTCATAGCTCATTGAGAAAATGTATAAAAAATGTTGTTAATTTTTATACTATTACGAAAGTAATAGTATAAAAGTTTTTATAATATTACATGTCTAGAGAATGCATATAGTATGTTAAGATCGTCTTAATAAAGACAATCTTACGAAAATATTGCATCCATGTCAAGATCTTGATTATATATGTTATTAAAAGTTCTATAAATTTTTTGGCACACACATAACAGTAAAGAGCCATTTTCTTCACATGTAGGTATAAAAGAGCATCTTTAATCAAGGTTGCTGTTGTTGCATCTGTGCTTGCATTACAGCTAACAATTCTTGCATATGCCGTATTTCCGCTTCCTTTTCTTGCAATATACGATCCTTGTCCGATACAGCACTGTTTTTCTCGGATTCTACAAGACTATTAAAAAAAAATTTATACAATAATCATATAAAAATCATATAATAATCATATAATCATATAAAAAATAAATATAATATAAAGGTAAAAAAATGAAAATTTTTACTGAACTAAAACAAGTTTTAAATGAAAAGTGTATTACATTTAAGGAAATTATAAGAAAAAATATGAAATTATATGAAAAATATGAAAAATATAAAGAAAAAACTCTTAGCAGTCAAACAGATAAAACTAACATCGCACAATTTTATGCTTTCTTATATGCATGCTGATCGACAGTTCAATTCACTATATAGATTTTGCAATGCGATAGCGATTCGTGTTATTCTAGCTTAAAACAAGAATCAATGTACAATATATAATATTTTGTTATTTGGCAACTTAGTTTCTTGCATAGATTTTGTAATAGACAATAGCGATTCATGCAATTAATTGAATTATCAGTATGCGTATAAGAAAATATGAAAATTGTGTACCATGTGTTTCTAGCTTTACAATATGTTTGTTAGTATGCATGTTAGAATGCATGAAATAATGTATTGTGTGACGATAGATTAAGTAGACGATTAATATTAAATCATAAAAGACACATTTAAAAATCATGCTTTCGAGAAAAATACCATACGAATAAATATTGTTCAAGTCCCTACTCAGAATTGCTGCAGATTGTCTTGTTTATATTATATTAAAAAGAAAAATTTATGTGATAAAACGAAATGCACACTTACGTCTGACGTCGAGGTGGTACTGGGGCCCCCTTAGCCAATCTTTCACTACGATAATTTTCGTAATGTACTTCTTGTGTTACTTCTTGTAAATCTTGCATATGTGTACTAAAAAAAAAGATATAAAATAATGTTAAATTTATATAAAATTAATGTGTTATATGTAATATTTTATAATTAAAACAAAAGTAACTTACATTAGCATTGTTCTCAATTTAATAAAATCGCAGTGATCAGGATTCTCAACTTCAACAACACCCCACGGATATAATCGACCACGTACTCTCTTTCCTTTGACTTCAAGCAAAGTATTTGCACCACATACTGCAAATGGAACAGCCTCTTTTAATTGACGTACTTGTTCTTTATAATCCTCATCTTCGTCGCTATCACAGTCTGGTAAAGGATATATTTTGATTCCACTGCCTTCAATCTCTTCCATAACTCTTTTCTTCAGACGTAATACTTCCTTTTTAGTAAGTACATCAGCTTTCGCTATTACAGGTACTATGTTAACTTTGTTATGAAGTTGCTTCATAAACTCAATATCTAACGGCTTCAACCTGTTATCATTAAAAAAAGGATAACTAATTATATTAATTCAAAAACTATAAAAATAATAAAATATATAAGCCAAATAATAATTAAAAAAAAAATTTTAATTATAATATTTTAAGTTTTTAATAATAAATAAATAATTTAATTATACATGGTGATAATTCGTACCCATGACCAAATGGAGAGATAAAATAAAAACAACAATGTATTCTGTTGTCCACAATATTCCTTCTGTTTAAACCACTTTCATCACGAAGGAATCTCTCAAATTGATCATCTATATATTGAATGATAGCTCTGAAACTATCTGTATTATCAATTGCATCTCCATAACCAGGTGTATCAACAACTGTTAATCTAAGTTTAACGCCTCTTTCCTCAATTTCGACTGTTGAAGCATCGAGTTTAACAGTTTGATTAGTTTTCTCTATTTAATAATAAAAACAATAATTATACATAAGATATATTTTATATCTTATATATTCACATATAAAAATTAGGAATTGAGAAAGACATTTGCTAAAAATTTTGATAAAACTTAATAGTTTAATACACATTTATAACCGCCATAACTAACATGGGGAACACCATGTCTGAACACCAGGTGACTGCTCCGGGGATTTTGACGCGCTTTATACAGGCTGTTCTTGGGCAAAAAAACGACAAGTGTCCGGCTGTTTCAATGGGCCATAGTTTTACAGAAATCGATTTTTAAAAATGATTCTAGTCGGCCGTGGCACACTTGATACGTTTGACCGTCACTATTGAACAGCAGTAGCGTTAGCGCAGTTGATAAGATGTTGGCTTCGTACATAATAGGTTGCGTGTTCAAATCTCGTGCATTTTCTTTATTAAAAATTTGTTCTTGTTTGTAATTATTTATATTATTATAGATATACACGAAAAAGATTATTTATTTGATTATATTAATATATTTTTTGTAAATGAAATTTTAAAATTTTTAAATAATTATTGTAATAATTTGGAAAATCTGTATAAAGAAATATTATCTTTATAAATTTTATTTTAATTTAATGTTAGTAATTTTCATTACTTTTTTATTAAAATGAAAGTTTATAAATTTTCATATTAGTAGATAATTTGTCCTCTTGTTGTCTTATTTTTCTGTTTTTCCTTATCAATTATACAATGATAAAGAAAGGTTGTGCTAACATGTCACTCTTTAACGATTCTTTATTGTTTAAGAAAATTAATAGAAAATTTTTCTCATGTCATGTCACTCGTGATCACTCACGTTTTTATTACATTTTTATTTATGTGTCCATATGAATAACAACAATGACGACGACGACAACGACGGTAATAATAATTATTCTATACAAGAATATTTAATTATTTACTAATTTGTAAATTTATTAGAATAAAATTTCATTAAAATAAAAAAGTAATAAAAATTAATAACATTAAATTAAAATTAAATTTATAAAGATAATAATATTTCTTTATTCAGATTTTTCAAATTATTACAATAATTATTTAAAATTTTAAAAATTTCATTTACAAGAAAAATATCAATATAATTATATAAATAATCTTTTTCGTGTATATCTACAATCTACAATAATATAAATAATTACAGATAAGAACAAATTTTTAATAAAAAAAAAATGCACGAGATGAGATTTGAATACGTAACCTATTGTGTACGAAGCCAACGTCTTACCTACTGCGCTACTATTGCTGCTCAATAGTGACGATCGAACGTATCAAGTGTGCCGCAGCCGACTAAAGTCATTTTTAAAAATAGATTTCTTCGAAACTATGGCTCATTGGCTGAAACAGCCGGACACGTGTCGTTTTTTTCGCTTAAGAACAGCTTGTAAAAAGCGCATCAAAATCCCCGGAGCAGTCACCTGATGTTCCCTTTGTAAGTCTAAATTTGAATATATTGTGTGAATAACTAATAATTAATTACGAATTAATAACTTAATTAACTCCTGTAGTCTCCGCTTTACAAGTTATTATTATTATTTATAGTATTATAGTATATTAAGATTAAAGATGTGGATACCCACTTCTTATACAAAAGTACCTTTACTTTTGAAAGACAGAAACACGTATATAGTATATTAAATATATGTATACACACACACACACACGCACACGCACACGCAAGCACGCACACACACACACACACACACACACACACACACACACACACACACACACACACACACACACACACACACACACACACACACACACACACACACACACACACACACACACACACACACACACACACACACACACACACACACACACACACACACACACACACACACACACACACACACACACACACACACACACACACACACACACACACACACACACACACACACACACACACACACACACACACACACACACACACACACACACACACACACACACACACACACACACACACACACACACACACACACACACACACACACACACACACACACACACACACACACACACACACACACACACACACACACACACACACACACACACACACACACACACACACACACACACACACACACACACACACACACACACACACACACACACACACACACACACACACACACACACACACACACACACACACACACACACACACACACACACACACACACACACACACACACACACACACACACACACACACACACACACACACACACACACACACCAGAGAGAGGATCATTATTTGATTATTTAATGATACAGCAATTAGATATGAAAATTATAATAGTCAAAAATAAAAAATCAACAATGTCCTCTTAAAATATTTTTTTAATTTGTTCGAACATTGTTTTAACATTGTTCGATATCATTTTGCCCTATGAGTGTAAATATTTATTTTTAACGTATTTTTAGCCGCAAATACGAATCCATAGTCCGAATTTGACTTTATGTCACAATTGTGAGAAAAAATGCGATAAAATTAACCAAAAACGATGATTTTGAGAGATTTCATGACGTAGCAGTGGCAGAAAAAAAATATTTTTAATTTCATTAAGACTCATGGCTCCGCGACTATGTTGCTTTGATGACGTTAGAAGCAACCGTCAGGAAAAAATACTATTAAGAACTGTTTAAAAAATTATAAGAAAATTGAAGCAAATAATATAGAGAAACTGTTTAATATACTGTAAAAATCTCGCTGTTAATTTGAACATGTCTCAACAGTTTTCTTCAGTACAGTAACTGAAATCTTGTACAACACAAAAATTTTTATGATATATTTTCAACTCTTAAACGTCAGTTTATGTTGATTTTAAATGAAATTTAAGCCTTTTAATTGATTTCTCACTATTTTCACATCAGAAAATTTATTCAGTACTGATCGGACGTGAACTCGAGAACTGCAGATACCTCCCAGGTTTCTAGTCTATCATCTTAGCTGCTATGCTATTTCTTCAATTGATACTAAGTTTCTTATTATCCTTATATGCAACCGAAGCAATAATTTTAATTTTTTTTAATAATATTATTTAATATTAGGTGTACAACTTTGCTTTCGCCGTTTTTTTCCGAAATTCGAGGCTTTATTGTAAAAAACTAGTTATACATTTATGATTCAAAGTATTGTCCATCGCTGGCCACTGCTTTCTCCCATCTTTCGGGCAGCGTACGAATCCCGCGTCGAAAAAACTGGTCATCTTTTGAGGCGATCCACGAATCGATCCAATTTTTTACTTCTTCATAAGAAACCGAAAGTGACAGTCAGCCAGGCCGTGTGCCATTGATCGAAACAAGTAATAGTCAGAGGGAGCAACGTCTCGAGAATACGTCGGGTGGGGTAGGACTTCCCATTTCAACGGTTTCAAGTATGTCTTGACCACTTTCGCAACATGGGGTCGAGCATTGTCATGCTGCAAAATCACTTTATCGTGTCTCTCGTTGTATTGCGGCTGTTTGTCTTTCAACGCTCGGGTCAAACGCATTAATTGCGTTCGATATCGATCGCCTGTGATTGTTTCAGTCGGTTTTAACAGCTCATAATACACTACGCCGAACTGGTCCCACCAAATACAGAGCATGACCTTGGAGCCGTGAATATTCAGTTTGGCCGTCGACGTGGAAGCATAACCGGGAACTCCCTATGATTTTCTGCGCTTGGGGTTATCGTAATGAACCCATTTTTCGTCCCCAGTCACAATGCGATGCAGAAATCCCTTCCGTCTTTGCCTTTCAAGCAGCTGTTCACAAGCAAACAAACGCCGTTCAACATCTCTCGGCTTCAATTCGTACGGCACCCAATTTCCTTGCTTCTGAATCATTCCCATGGTTTTGAGGCGTTTTGAAATGGCTTGGTGAGTCACTCCCAATGATCGTGCCAATTCTTCTTGATTTTGATACAAGTCTTGATCAAGTAATGCCTCCAATTCTGCATCTTCGAAAACCTTTTCTCTTCCACCGCTATGCCGGTCTTCGACGTCAAAATCACCGTTCTTGAAGCGTTGAAACCACTCACGACACGTTCTTTCACTAATAACGGCCTCACCATAAGTATTTGAGAGCATTCAATGAGCCTCAGCCGCAGATTTCTTCATATTGAAGCAGGAAATTAAAACCTCCCGCAAATGACGAAAATTTGGCTCGTAAACTGCCATTTTCAATCGAGAATAACTTTATGATGCAAACATAAATCGACTAATGTTTCTATGGGGTTATGTTGACAGATGCCCAAGTTTATTGTATGACGTCTATGATCTATTTATTTCGACCACTACTTACCGCTAAAGCCATCTATAGGAAAACGGCGGAAGCAAAGTTGTACACCTAATTATATATTCATACAGAAAAGTCATTCCTATATACGGCGACAGAGCTGAAAGATTGTGATTTGGACAGACGTATCAAGTTCTGTGAGGAGATGATGCGTCGTTATGACCAAAACAATAATTTTTTCGAAAACATAATCTTTTCTGATAAAGCTGCTTTTCGATTGAACGGGGAGATGAATCGGCACAACTGCCGATATTGGAGCGACGATAATCCTCACTGGATGAGCGATATCCATACCCAATATCCCCAAAAACTTAACGTGTGGGCTGGATTTTGTGGGAGAGGAATAATTGGACCCTTCTTCATAGAGGGAACACTTACAGGTCAAAAATATCTAGACCTTTTACAATTACGAATTGTTCCAGCAATTTTTGATTTGGTTGGACGAGAAGAAACCTGGTTCCAACAAGATGGAGCGGCTCCACATTATGCGGCAAGGGTAAGGGAATATTTGAACGAGGTCTTCCCTGAAAGGTGGATAGGCAGGCGCGGAGAAATAGAATGGCCCGCTAGATCTCCGGACATGACGCCATTGAATTTTTTTCTATGGGGATATGTCAAGAATAATGTCTACAAGACCAAACCTGCGAATGTGGATGAGCTGAAGGAGCGAAT